ACCCACTCTCTCCAAGCCTCCCATTTCCTCCTCCACGATGCCAGCATATTGACAGAGGTGACCCCAGGTGACTGAGAAAACAGCGATGATCGCACGGCCAGGGCTTTGTAGATGCTGACACGCTTGGGACTACGGGTGAAGGGGGGCCCTGGCAGGGGCTCCCTTGCCCGTCTGTGCAGACTCTGGTGTGGTCAGTGTACGGGTAAGCTTTTGCTTCCAGCCTCTAGCTTCCTGTGAGCCTGGTCCTCCCTTGCCCTGGCCCAGACAAGTCTGTGGCCAGCATCCCAGTCCTGGGTGAGCCTGGGGGAGGGGACAGCAAGCCGGTGAAGCACAGGACAGCTGGTCTCAGCCCCTTGCACACACCTGTGCCAGTAGAGCTGAGGGCTGTCCGCACGGAGCCCTCAGAAGCCTGGGATTTGCCTGGCCTGTCTTTGGCGGGTGCCTGGCTTCCCTGACCCTTGTACCCCGCCTCCCAGGGTGAGCTGAGGATCAGTGTCCTGCCTGCCTACTTGTCATACGACGCCCCGTGGCCTGTCAGGAAGATTCCACTGCGCTGCACAGCCCACTATGTGGCTTACCACGTGGAGTCCAAGGTCTGACCCCATCCCCTCGAGGCCAGAGACCCTCTGGGTCTTGCCTCCGGCCTGCCCGTGACGCCCTCCACTCTCCCAGGTGTACGCTGTTGCCACCAGCACCAACATGCCGTGCACCCGCATCCCACGCATGACCGGCGAAGAGAAGGAGTTTGAGACCATCGAGAGAGGTGCGAGATGCCCAGAGGGGGGCTTGCCGTTCGGGCTGCCCACCCTGACCATCGCCTTTTGTCCTTGCAGACGACCGGTACATCCACCCGCAGCAGGAGGCCTTCTCCATCCAGCTCATCTCCCCAGTCAGCTGGGAGGCCATCCCTAATGCCAGGTGGGGCTGGGGCTGGCTGGGGACCTGGGGCCAGCCCGTAGGCTGCATCCTGACCCTGTCGTGTGCAGGATCGAGCTGGAGGAGTGGGAGCACGTGACCTGCATGAAGACGGTGTCGCTGCGCAGTGAGGAGACCGTGTCCGGCCTCAAGGGCTACGTGGCTGCTGGGACCTGCCTCATGCAGGGGGAGGAAGTCACGTGCCGAGGGCGGGTAAGGGGCTAGCAGGAGGGGGCGGGCCGTGCCCGGCAGCCCCAGCACCGACCCTGTGCCTCACCCACCCTCCTTCCCCGGCAGATCCTGATCATGGATGTGATCGAGGTGGTGCCTGAGCCTGGCCAGCCCCTGACCAAGAACAAGTTCAAAGTCCTGTATGAGAAGGAGCAGAAAGGGCCAGTAACTGCCCTCTGCCACTGCAACGGCCACCTAGTGTCTGCCATCGGCCAGAAGGTGTGCCCTCTCCCACTGCCCTCCCGAGTCCTGCCCGCTGCCTTCCGCTCGCTGCCTACTCCTTCTGTCCCCCTAGATCTTCCTGTGGAGCCTGCGGGCCAGCGAGCTGACCGGCATGGCCTTCATCGACACCCAGCTCTACATCCACCAGATGATCAGCGTCAAGAACTTCATCCTGGCCGCCGACGTCATGAAGAGCATTTCGCTGCTGCGCTACCAGGAGGAGAGCAAGACACTGAGCCTTGTGTCCCGGGTACCCGTGGGGCCTGCGCACAGTGCTGGGTGGGTGCTGGCCTCAGGCCGACCTTGACACCCCTCCTCCCCGTCCTCAGGATGCCAAGCCCCTGGAGGTGTACAGTGTGGACTTCATGGTGGACAACGCCCAACTGGGCTTCCTGGGTGAGCACGGGGCCTGGGGGGCTTTGGGGTCTTCCAGACCTTGGGTGTGGCCGGGCTGACCCTGGGCGCTCTGCTCCCCAGTGTCTGACCGTGACCGCAACCTCATGGTGTACATGTACCTGCCAGAAGGTGAGTGTTCCCTCTTCCCCTTTTGTGGGGCTGGGGGTTGGGCGGGCAGTGACCTGAGCTCCCTCCGGCTTAGCCAAAGAGAGCTTTGGGGGCATGCGCCTGCTCCGCCGGGCGGACTTCCACGTGGGCGCCCACGTGAACACGTTCTGGAGGACCCCATGCCGGGGGGCTACCGAGGGACCAAGCAAGAAGTCAGTCGTGTGGGAGAACAAGCACATCACGTGGTTCGGTGAGTCCCGGGTCAGATGGGGGCGGGTGTGTGGCGCGGGGCAGGGGACGGTCAGCCCGGCTCACCCCGTGCCTCCCGCAGCCACGTTGGACGGCGGCATCGGGCTGCTACTGCCCATGCAGGAGAAGACCTACCGGCGGCTGCTAATGC